CTCCTCCTCCTCCTCCTCCTCCTCCTCCTCTTTTTTCCTCATCCTCCCTCTCCTCCTCTTCTTGCTCCCCCACGCGTTCCTCGAAATCTTTCCAAACCGACCCGGGGAACAACTGGCCCGAGAGCTTGACCAATCTCTGGCCCGGCTGTTGGCCACAGAGGCGCTTCCAAAGGGGCAGGGGGCGGCGGTGATTCGCCGTAGGCGTCTTAGATCCGCCGCCCCCTGTTGGCTTGCCACAGGGGTGCCTGGCGTGCTAAACTTCTTACGGATTGGTTTTGGTTCTTTTCAAAAAAATCCTGAGGCTTCGGTCCGTGCCGCCGGCCACCCAGAAGGGACCCGAAACAAACTCAACGTCCGGAAAACAAAAACCTAAGACGGCTCAAGATGGCCTCTCTGACGGCCACGATGTCTCAAGATGGCCTCCAAGATGTTTCCAAGACGCCTCCAAGACGGCCAAGATGGCCCCAATCGACCCCAACAGACCCCAACATGGCCCCAAGACGCACCCAAGACGAGCCAAGATGGTCTCAAGACGACTCAAGAGGCCTCAAAGAGGTCCTCCAGGAGGGCCCGAAGAAGCCAAAATCATTGATTATACTATGGTCTTTGAAAGATTTTGCCGTATACTTCTGATCAGCCTTCCGACGGCCCGAGACGGCCCAAGAGGGCCCCAAGATCGCCCCAAGATGCCCCCCAAAGGCCTCCAAGATGACCACATGACGGCCCAAGAAGCCTTCAAGACTGCCCCTAGAGGGCCCCAAGACGGCCCAAGAGGCCTCTAAGACGCCCATGGTGGCCTCCAAGACGGCTCTGAAGCGCCTCAAGAGCGCCCCAAGTCGGTCGAAAGAAGCCCCCAAGACGGCTTCCGACGGCGTCAGACGGGCCAGGAACGCCCTGAGACGGTCAAAGAGGCCCCCAAGAAGCCCCAAAAGGTCAGCAAAAGGTCCAAGGAGGCTGCCAATAGGCCTCCGAGAGGCCCGCAAGAAGTTCCCAGAAGGCCCCACCTCCTTCTCCTCCTCATCCTCGTCCTCATCCTTCTCCTCCTCCTCCTCCTCCTCCTCCTCCTCCTCCTCCTCCTCCTCCTACTTCTCCTCCTCCTCCTCCTCGTCCTCCTCCTCCTCCTTCCTTCTCCTCCTCCTCCTCTTCTTCTTCCTCCGCCTCATCCTCCTCTCTATGTGTCCTCCCTCTCCTCCGCTTCTTCTTCCTCCCCAGCGTGTTCCCCGAAGGGTTTCCAGAACGGCTGGGGGAACGCATGGTCGGATACCTTGGCAGAGCTCTGGCCACAACGTTCGGCCACATTGGCGATTCCAAAAGGCAGGGGCTCGAGAGGCCAACAAGAATCTTCTGGAAGGCCCCAACAATCCTCTTCCTCTTCCTCCTCCTCCTCCTCCTCAGCTTTCTCCGCCTCCCCATCCTCCTTCTCCTCCTCCTCCTCCTCCTCCTCCTCATCATCATCATCATCATCATCAGCAGCAGCAGCATCATCATCAGCATCATCATCAGTATCAGATTCCTTGTTCTCCTCCTCTTCCTTCTCCTCCTCCTCTTCCTCCTCCTCCTCATCATCAGCATCATCATCAGCAGCAGAAGCATCATCAGCATCAGCAGCAGCATAATCGGCATCATCAGCATCAGCATCATCATGAGCAGCATCATCATCATCATCATCATCATCATCATCATCATCATCATCATCATCATCATCATCATCATCATCATCATCATCATCATCATCATCATCATCATCATCATCATCATCATCATCATCATCATCATCATCATCATCATCATCATCATCATCATCATCATCATCATCATCATCATCGTCATCGTCATCATCATCATCATCATCATCATCATCATCATCAGCATCATCAGCAGCAGCAGCATCATCATCAGCATCAGCATCAGCATCATCCTCATCCTCATCCTCATCCTCATCCTCGTCCTCCTCTCTATGTGTCCTCCCTCTTCTCCGCTTCTCCTTCTTTCCCCCCCCCGCGTGTTCCCCGCAGGATTTCCACAACGGCTGGGGGAACACATGGTCGGATAGCTTGACAGAGCTCTGGCCACAGCATTCGACCACATGGGCGATTGCAAAAGGCAGGGGGCGGCGGTGATTCGCCGTAAGCGTCTTCGATTGAGGCCTCCCAAGTGGAGTCCGAGTAGACGGGGTAGGAGGATCGCGCCCCATCGATAATGCATGGCCGATGCATCGGCGATGCATCGCTGACGTCGGCGACGCATCGGCGCCGTCGGCGTGGAGAAAATCGGGCTCAACATCGAGACGCATCGGCGATGTATCTTCAATGCGGCGCGATCCTTCGAACCCAACTGCTCGGACCCCATCTAGAAGGCCTAGATCTAGGCATGAGGTAACGTTGGCGCGCGGCTTCGAGGGACCGCGCGGGGGGGGTCAAAACCAAGCGCACAGGCCAGTGCTGGAGGGAAACCATGGGGCCCCGATGTCCGCAGCATCAGAGACACGCCAGGACTGAGGTGTCGCCGTAGTGCACTCGAATGCCCCGGAGGCGCCCCTGGGGTCTCACAGAGCCGTGCATACCAAATGCCTCCCGAATGGTTTTGATTATGTGAGCGTTTTTTATTCGGCGTTTCGACATTGGGCGGAAGGGGGGGGGAGGGGAGGGGTCTGGCTCCAACCCTCTGCTTGATGCGACTGTTTGGAACCGTGCGTCCTATCGGGGAGACTCCACCTGCTCGAAACAGGCGCCAAAAAAACAGCCAGCCAAGATCCACTCCACGGGGGAGGGGAGGGGAGGGTGCGAAGGCCCGCGCCGATCGGCAAAACGAGTAATAAAAAAACGATCACTACATGCATGAGCCATAATGACAAACCCTGCTCCAGATGTGCACACACCCTACGGCCCTACCGGCCTCTACGCCCGTACAGAAGGACACCGCGGCAGCCGATCCACCCAAGGCGGGGTATGCGCCGGCCCGCTGGCACGACGACCCAAAATCGAATCGAAAAATCGAACCAGGCCCCGCAATACATCGACTCGGCAAGAATCGGCAGGCAAATCAAAAGGCATCGGAAAATCGACGTCCGCCGGCCCAAGCCGAGGCATGCACGAGGAACTCCGAACCGGAGTGTCAGAACCCAGAGCCGAGTCGAATCGAGATCGGGATCCTCGAAACCGAATCGATTCGAATCGGCAGGGCCGAACTGGTTCCTGACACTCACAAACGACCGCGGACCCGCGGAGCCTCCGCCTCTAGAGGGACAGAAAACGGCATAAACGTAAACTTTTGACGGTCCGCGCAGATGTCTCGGATCTGCGCTGCAAACCCCCTCCCTGGCGCGCGGAGCGCGCCAGTGGCGGCGCCGGCGGCGCCGCCAGGGGGTCCCAGCACAGACTCGACAAATGCGCGAGGACCGTCAAAAGTTTACGATTATTGAGCATCGTTTAACCGATCCCTATCTCCACGGGCGTGGCCTTGGCCCCACTGGCCGATTTACCCCCCAAGATAAGGGTACAGGCTGCTTCCTTCGAGTTTCGAAAGGCATATCCCCAACTGGGATGGTGGGATGGTGGGGGTCGAGATGGAGATAGGGATGGGGATGGGGATCGGTTAAACGATACTGATGTATGCCGCTTTCTGCTCTTCCAGCCTCGCCGAGTGCTCTTCCAGCCTCGCCGAGCCCTCCGCGGCCAGAAGGCGGCCGCCGCCGCGGCGCCGCACCTCCCGCGGCGCCGCGGGAGGTGCGGCGCCGCGGAGGGCCCGAGGCAGGCGGGCGGCCGCGGTACGGCTCGCCGCCCCCTCTGGCAGCCACGGGGCTCGGCCAGGACAGCCTCGGCCAGCACAGCCTCGGCCAGGCTGAGCTCGGCCAGGCTGAGCTCGGCCAGGCGGAAGTCGGCCCGGGCCGAGGTCAGCTGGCCGGGCTGGCCGGGTCTGTACCTTGTCGCCCCTGAGCCTTACCCCCCCCCCACTCGGGCACTGGTGCTGGCTCGGCCAGGCTGTCAGCTTGGCCGGGTCTTCACCTTGTCACCACCGACACCCCCCCCTCGGGCACCGGTGATGAGCGGTGTTGGGCGGCATTGCACGGCGTTGCGCGGTGAGAAGCGGTACTGCGCGGTGTTGAGCGGTGTAGGCCGGCGATGCGTCTGCTGCAAAGCAGATCTGCCAGTGCCCCCTGGCAGGTTGAGGCGGGGTGGAATACCAAGTGAGCGACGGAGAGAAAGGGGTCTTACGCGAGATGGCATGGCGACCTTGCGCGGTGGCTTACGCGGGCCGCCAGCGCGGCACGCTA